GAAAATGGATATATACATATCCATTTCTATCAAAGGCTAAATTCATCACTAAGCAACAATTTTACCATTTGTAGACAATATTCTAAGCACATAGTTAAGTAGAATAAATATTTATTGAGCATTATTTAAAGCCTCTGATTTTTTAAATTTTATTCATTCATTCATTTTTGTATTTTTAGGAAAGGGTCTACAGGGTATTCAGGATCTTAGTACCAGACTGGACTCGTAGTGATCTGCCTGTTTACAGCCTCCCAAGAGCTAGGATTATAGGCACACGCCACCACACTCAGTCTCAATTGCCATCTCTGCGCACCCTGAGGGCGGGGCTGGCACAGCAGGACTGGAAATCGAATCCCTGGCCCCTGTGCCTATTTTCAGGCACTTTAATCCACCGAGCTATTTGGCCGGCCCAATTCTCTGAATTTTATACCGAAACACAGGAGACATAGCATCTGGCCCAACTAAGCTTAAATTCTAAAACAAGAAAGATAGTTGCAATAAAGACATAAATGTTTAGAAGGCATAAAATGCTATGGTAGAGCCTGGAGAACTTGGCCTGACCCAAGTAATTGGGAACTTCTCTGAAACAATGACCCCGAAACATGAGCAAGAGTTAGCTCAACTGGCAGAGAAGAGGCTGGGAAGCAGAGCATAGCAACTGAGACACAGGTGCCAAGACATGGGAAAATCTGGTGATAAACAAAAGCACTGCACATGCAGAGAAGGAAACAATGTAGAGGACCGAAGCTGTGATATGGCAGACAGAATGGCAAGAAATGGGGCTGCATAGAGGGCAGGGGCCAGGCTGAGGCTGGCCTTGTGTGCCAGGTAAGGAAGCTTGGATCTATCCTAAGCAAATTAACCAGGGAAGGACTGTAATCAGGGAAATGATCTGGTAAGTACACACCAAAATAAATACCTGTGACACTGTGCAAAGCACACCTGGGAGGTATAGCAACAGCACACACTGAGTCAATGATTCGACCCCAAATTACTCTTTTTGCTCAGCCTAGAAAAGCACAGAAATCTCTCCTTTGAGTGTGACCGCTCTTTAGCCATTACTCTTAACTGCTTCTCCAAGGAATCTACTCTTTCCACTCCTGGAAGCAGCGGCCTACATCTACGTTGCCATTCCTCTAGCAATTTTTCTAAATTCCAAGATCAGTTTGTGATGTCAATGAAAAAACGTGAGCAGTGACCTTGATCTAAATATTGTCCGATCCTGTGGTGTCTCCTCCTAACAAAACTTTCTGCTACTGTTGAACAAAAAAAAAAAAAAAATACTACTGAATAGATTGTTAAGCAAAAACATTTTATCAGTAGCAGATGAATGTTTCAAACATAATCCCTGTGAATCACTATAAGAAAAACACAGAAACAGACAAAAAAAGAAAAAAAAAATTTCTCAAATACAGTACTATGTTTTTTATAATTAGGGTGAAATGAAAAGGCATATTAATTTTGTAAGTCTAAACTGGAAAAACTCATTCTTGCAACATTTTCACAGTTAAACAATGTTTAAATCCAAATAAAGAAAATGCTTGTCACATTCTTTTCAAAGAGTTAACCACAGAAGAAAATTTACTTTTAACTGTCAACAGGACATATCAAAATTTATAGGCAGGGAAACCAGCCTATTTTATTGCAGAAGAACTGTGGCATCTCATTGCCCACTGGCAGTTCTATAATTAAGAATCTGTCAGTGTTTCCATTACCTGCAGGCATTCTCAGAGTTTGCAATTCTGTCATAAACATCCTCACAAGGCTGAAACTTCATACACAAGGTCTCAGACTAAGAGCAATTCATTTTTTAAAAAATATGATACTTTTAAATTATAGAAGTTCTCAAAAATATCTCTGCCAAATGAAAACAATTTCAAAATCTTATAAAATAGTTTTGGTTTTGCAATAACATTCTAAATTTTTGTTAATTTTCTAATTAAATTAGAAGTCAATAAAAAATAAAATGTCACCAACATTCAAATAGGTTAAAATTTTAGTGCTCATTATTAGTGCTCATATAGTAATACACAATTCTAAGCACAGAAGATTCATACATTCTTATAATAAAAACAGTAAAAAGCCAGCCATATAAAACCCAAAGAAATTTATAAATCTTTCTCTAAGGAATTTGTCTGGGTTTAAATTTTGGGCAAGTTTGTATCATTCTAGGTTGTGTGGTAGCAGCTTTATTTACCTTACTGCTATCTTCACAACTATGTCACATCATCATCAGTAGTTCTGTGTTAGATTATAGTAGCCACAAAAGCAGCCAAAGATGGTATGCTGCTACATGCTTACTTAACTTTATGACAAATCCCAGAGAGGAGATACTTATTACTGCCTCCATTCTAAAGATGAGAAAACTGATGCCTCGAGATGTGCGGTTACTTGTCTATGACTGCACTGAGCACAGCTCAGAGCCCAAAGCTCAGATATGGGAGCCTGTGACCTTATAATACTACACTGCAGACATATTTCGTATACTGCTGGAGTTCAGAATTCGTGTGGAGAACATGCTTTTGTATTTCATTCAGGATAATGCTTGTGTTGTCTTAGCTGCTTCTTACTGTAGGTTAGTTGTAAGACATAAATAAAGCTAATGCCTAGAAAAGCTTATTGCACTACAGAGTAGCTTATTCTCTTTAAAAAAGCAAATGAGTTCAAAATATGCTTTGTCAAAAACAAGAGGCCTTGGAGGCCAGGGAGATGGCTCAGTAGAATAAGCATTTGCCTGGCAAGCACAAGGGTCTGAGTTCAATGCCCCATTCCACCAAAAAAAAAAAACAAAAACAAAAACGAGAGGCAAGAAAAATGTTTACAAACCCAAGTGGTTCCTGAGCTGCAACTGAAGGTAATGAAATTTAAAACAGACAAACAATTTAATCAGAAAGATGCCCCTCTCTCATGTGCAATGGAGAAGCAACATGGAAGAAAAGTGGGAGATTGGAGTCACCCAAACTTTGAGTTTCAGCTCTTTTTCCCAGCAGCTCTGTGACAATGGATGCATTATTTACCAGCATTTATTCAGTTTCTTCATCTGAAAAATGAGAGTTAATCACACTGCTTACTTCACAGGTTGTGGTGAATACTAATGAGATATGCTTTGAAAGCATTCAATAAGTAGTCTTGGTAATGATAGTGCCTACTTCCCCTCTTCCAAGCTTCAGACCTGAAAATACACCTCCCTACATGTTTCCTGGGATCCTGCAATTCATTATGCCCAAACATCTCAGGGAACCTCATTTCCCTCTAGGCAGTCTGCAACCTAACACCCAGCCTGGTGCTTGAGCCAGTCAACACTGTCAACCCCGAAGTCACCAGGCCACACTGATGGTGTACCTTGCATACAAATATGCAAAAAGCCACCTTCTCCTTTGAGTCCTCCTCCTGGCCTTAGCTCAGGAGTCACTAGCTGCCCTGCCTCTACTTTCTTCGATTTCAGGTCCAGGAGCACAGAGTGTTTTTTATCTCAGGACATGGCAAAGAGTGGTCATCATAGAAATATTTGTTTAAAAACAAAAGGGCAAACTGCTCCAAGTGTGAGGAACAGGGCTGTCTGAACTGTTTGCCTCTACAATCAAAGCAGTGTGGGGCTAAGCAGAACTAGATTTTTCCTGAACATCATCTCTTCACTATAGACGTCTTTTGGTTTAAATTAATAAGCCACATTTGTCATTTATAGATGTTCTGTCTTGCCATGCTTCATTCTTTTAGGAGCTCATACTAACCTCAGTGTACTTAAAATTTCTATTGCTTACAATAAAATATTACATAATATGCCAAGTTCTTAAGAAAACGTAATTTAACAGCAACACTATTCTTTTTAAAGGAAATTAGATTTATGTGACTCTAAGTTGTTCTTAAAATTTATATGATAAAATACTGAACATTTTTGTTCCTTTAACAGACTGATAAGAAATTTAATGCTCTAGTACTTTAATTACTTACATACTATTCCATTCCTATTTCTAGGTTCCCTTCACAAACTTGTCTATCACAACAGTTTTTTAAAAATGCTCTCCTGTCTGTCTCCTACTTCTCTCCCTCTTTTTCTCACATATTCAGAACAAAAAAAAAAAAAAAAAAAAACAATAAAAGCATTATTACCTCCTTCTAGAAAATGAAGAGACTGATGTGCTTGTAATGTCAGGTTCCCATTCATCTTCAGGATCACAAAAAACATCCTCACCTCTGTTACTATTAGTATTCTAAGAAAAGGAAAATACAGTTTCAATTAATTCTGTTTTGTTTTTTCATTAACTTTATTTAAAATCAATAATTACATATCAAATTAAAAATTACAAATATTGAAATGTGAAAGATATAAGTTGTAGACAGAGTGAATTTTAGAGAAATATTTCTGAAATGAATACATAGCATGAGATACATATCAAATTAAAAATTACAAATATTGAAATGTGAAAGATATAAGATGTAGACAGAGTGAATTTTAGAGAAATATTTCTGAAATGAATACATAGCATGAGTTTAATAACAGCTTGCACATTGTAAATAAATTATTTATAAACAAATGAATATAACAATAAAAATTGTCCAAAATAAAAATGAAGGAGTTTCAATTAATTTTGAATGAAAAAAAAAAAAAACTTTAGCAACTAAGGAAAAAATGTTCAGTTTGTTACATTTAAAATACAGAATTACAGGATATCTGACAAAAATCTTTTTTTTAAAAATCATAATGCTGATAAAATTTTTAAAACCTGTCACATGATGCTAGAGATTGTATTAAAAGACCTGCTAATAAAAGCAACAAATCATTACATCAAAAATAATAGTTTAAATTTTAAGATACAATGAAAACAAAAATAATAAAATCCTCAAAGGAAATATAATTTCTAAAACATATTAATTGTAATAATTTATATTTTAAATATTTAAAACATACCACTTATAATTCTACCAAAATACTATACAGAGTTTAATTCAGAGAAAGCATAATTATGTGGAAAAATAAATAAAGAGCTCAATGGATGGGTGAAGCAGGAAGTAAGTGAGCAGCAAGGAGTGTCTCCCATTAGATTTCAATGTGCACTGTAAGGTAAGGATGATCAAACGCCTTTTGTGCTGTTTTTATTTTTTTCAATGTATTTTTTTTTATATTTATTTTTATTTATTACATTTATTTATTGTGTGTGTGTGTGGCCAGCTCAGCCCACCAGGGGGCGGGGCTGGCTGGCATGTGGTGCTGGGGATCGAACCGCGGTCCCTGTGCTTTGCCAAGCTTGTTTCAAGTAGGTGCTTTAGACCACTGAGCCATCTCTCCAGCCCCTTTTGTGCTGTTTTTAGTTATTTTAAATACACAAGCAATTCACAATCACTGTAGAAAATTTGGAAAGTGTTAATACATAAAAACATAAAGAAAAAATTAAAACCATTCATAAATCCATTACTTAGAGAAAAACATTCTCAATTCTTTGTCATGACATAATTATATCTTTTTGGATTTTCTATTATGAATATATTTTACATGCCTAGAATACTACCAAACTCTAACATTCTTTAAGTATTGCTCTGGGCTTGACGTACTAACATTAATGATTTTTATAACTGTGTTCATATTAAAATCAATTTATAATTATCTTCTGAATCATCGTTTCAGTTTTTGTGGTTTTTGTTCCTTTGTTTTTACCAGTTTTTCTAGCACTAGACATTCTATAATAGTTAAACCAAAAAGGATTGATCTGTTTCTGGAAATTTGAAAGAATATAAATAAAACTGATTGGAATGAGCAACTTTTTCCTCTCCAGTTTTTTCTAATCTTTCTTTAAAGCTATCTTACTGACAAACTTTTCACATTATTGAATGGTTATTTCTCTATTAAGTCAGCTTGCATAATTTATTTTTTCCTAGAAAGTCTTTTCTTTCTAGAAAATTGTCAATTTGAATAACATAAAATTTTCTAGAATGTAATTTTTATCATTTTATATTATTTTCTAGATTATATTATAATCTTATATTATTTTAAGTTAAATATTTAAGCTATTTTTTCTATTAAAGCATTAAGGAAGCTGTACATGGTGCACATGACTATAATCAAAGCACTCTGAGAGGTGGCAGCTGGAGTAGCAAATTCAAGCCTCCTCTGAGCAAAACAGCAAGATACTGTCTCAAAAAAAAAAAGGAAAAAAAAAAAGCTAGGGCTATAGTTCAGCAAGATGGACTTGGGTTCAGTTCCCAGTAACATAAGGAAAAAAGGCATTAGAGCTATAATTTGGCAATTTCCTTTAAATTTTAAAATATCTTCATTATTGTTATTATCTAAGTAGTATAGAACATAATTCCACTAGTCATATTTAAAAATAAGATATTTGACAAATAGTAACAATGTAACAATTTTAGTACATGTTACAATTATTTTAGAGTTAAATAATAACAGCAAAATTAAATTTATATTCATACTTCTCACAAAGCATCACAATAAATTCTAAGTGATTCAAAGATACAAACTTTAAAATGAAAAAGCAGAGAATTGAACAAGTTTTCAGTAAGATCTCTGCTTTCATAGACTCAGACTTACCAAATTAAAGATGCCTATATAACAAAATGAAGCTAAGAAAAAGATCACAAAATCAAGACAAAAAAGCATATAATAAATACTTTAAAAAAGACTTATCAAAACATGTAATGAACTTGTATAAAAATAAGTTCATTACTCACATTTCACTTAACAAAAAATTCGAAGTGTTACAAACACATAATTTATCCATAAGGAAACAGTCAAACCCTCAGATCCACTAGTTATTAAAATACAAATTGAACTACACTAGCAAGTGATATTTGTAGCAAGCAATTTTTCAGTAACCATTAAAGTGTAATGTTTAAAATTCACATTTTGGTATCATTTTAGAGAACAGAAGGCAAAGAAAGAAGATGTTAAAAACCAATATATACAGAAGTATTTTTAGTGGTGACCTAAAACAGCAAGTTAAAAAAAAAAAATTTTAAAGCAGCAAGTGATTAGAAACACTCAAAGCACAGCAACAGAAAAAGCGCAAATGTATAAAAGCTCACATCAGTAGAAAAAGGAAAATAGTTTCAAATCATGTAAACTGCTTTGTCTGTCAAATTTCTTCCTCTTGTAGTTAACCAGAAATGTAAAATTTTTAAAATGCACAATTATAATTCAATAATTCAGAACTAAATTTCTGTATCATACTTCTATCTAAACAAAACCCCACTTAAATACATGCAAAAATATATGTAATTGCTAATATTTGGTTGAATAACAGACTGCCTTTATTTTCCAAATTTTCTTCACGAAAATACAACTTCTATATATTTTTATTTTTATTTTAAAAAGTTTATAGGTATTTTTTTTTGTATTTTAATAATATTCCAAACCTCATAAAGTTCTTTCATTGCTGCAAGTTTAGATTCAAACTTTTCAAGACTCCAGAAAGTTGAGACCCCAAGCTGCAGGTTACGAACTCGAATAGATGTCTCAGAACTACCTTTATCTGATGCATCATGCCTGAAAGAAAATCAAATAAAAAAATACTTACTCAAAACATACACTACTACTCAAACTCAGCGTTTTCTGGAATTGAATAAATCCATACAAATTCAGTCCACTGATTAAATAATGCTATAGCTAAGCATTTTTATTTTACTAATAATTATGCCTAATATACACTACATAAAACAATCTGACATGTAAATTTTTTAAATAAAATAAATCTACAAAAACGTATTTCTTTTAAAAAGTGGAATGCAGGAATGGGTACATAACTCAGTGGTGTAGGTAGGTTCAATCTTCAGGACAATTTAAAGGGGAATGCTAATAGATTTTCATGTCCAAGGAAAAACCAATGAATTTCTAAAACATCTAAAATTATTCCGCTTATAAGTATGCACTTATGCTATTTGTTGAAATCTCTTACTCCCAAGTAGTGTCACTGGGGTCTCTTATACCAGCTCTTTCCTGGAAAGGTGCCACAGGAGAAACTAAAAGAACTAAATTGCTTTTTTTTCTTTATATTACATGCCAACCATCTGTTTCAAAGAAAGAACTACTTTATAACTAGGATAACAAACTACTCACCTGCCAAAAACATAGTATTTTTTTAACTTGCTGCTGATGGTATTGGCTTCCTGAATCATCATTGAGACTTTCATGGAGCTCCAATTTGGCTGAACTAATACAAAGCATACAAAGAGGATTCAAAATACGTATGTGACCACTAACATACACCATGAGATAGAACCATTCCAGAAAACATGATTTTTATTTTTTTTCTCCTTGAGACAGAGTCTCACTACGCAGTTCAGGCTGGCCTTGAGCTCACTTTGTAGCCCAGGCTGGCCTTGAACAAGGCAGCAGTTCTCCCATCTCAGCCTCCTGAGTGCTGGGATTACAGGTGTGCACCACCATGCCTAGCCCAGAAAAAAAGTGATTTTAATTCAGTGGTTTAATTTTATATCCCATAAAGATAAGCATGACAACTGAGTAATTTTTTTCAACTTATTATCAAGATAAAATATTCTTCATGTAAAATGAGGTCTTTCATTTGGAGGGATGGTAGAAATTGACATCAAGAGGATAATGTTGTTCCAAGAAAGGAAACTCCACAGACAATGCTTTTTTTTTTTTAAACATACTTAGAGATATTTTTTCTAACATCTTGTTTCTTTTTCTTTCCTAATTTCAAATACAGACTTCCCTTTTTTCTTTTTTTAATTTGGCCAACAAGTATTTTGCAGGACAGAAAAATAAAATGGTAACAAAGCATGGTGGCACACACCTGTAATGCCACAGCACTCAGGAATCTAAGGCAGGAGTAGTTCAAGTTTCAAGGCCAATAACAGCCAGCCTAGACTGCAATGCAAGTTTTTATATAATGAGGTGGCAGTGGGGGGTGGGGGGGGAGAAGGATGAGAGGAAGAAAGGAAGGACAGGGGAGAAAGGGAGAGGGCAATTTAAAATTCTAATTTCCTAATTTAAGATTTTTGGTGATTTTGTTGTTTTGTTGTGTTTTTTGTTTGTTTGTAGAGGGTATTGTTGATTTGCAATGCTAGAGATTGAATTGTATATCCTTGCATTTTAAGAACATATTCACTCTACCACTGAGCTACATCCCTAGCTCTTAACTTTAAGATTTTATCATAAATATTTCCTATATTGTCAAATTTAAAATTATTATTCCATTAAAAATGTGTTTTGGAAGGATAAAATTCATTATTCAAATGGGAAAAAGAAACAAGTATTCATTCTTTTACTGAGTATTCATTCTTTTTACTGTCCTATGCCCTTAGAAAAATAAAACACTATGTGGATATAAAGTATTTATCTCTTACAACAGATAAAATAGTACTAATTTTTTCAAAGTTATTTCAAAATATTAGCTATAGTGAGAATGCAGCATAAGTACCAAGTACTCTTGGGAAATAAATAAATTAGAATCTGACAGGCCTGAAGATCTACCTCACCCTTTCTAGGGAATACAGAAGCAGAAGAATCTACTGAACAACAAAATGGAGACACAGGCAGCCAAATCCAAAATCTGGGAAACTACAGGACAAAGAATTTGATTCTTCAAAAAGTGGATTCCAACAGATAAGAGAGAAGAAAGAGCTAGCTGACAGACAAAAGAAATGCTGTATAAAAGCCAGGCCAAGCCACACATGTTGGTACCTGTGTACAGCCCCAGCAGACTGAGGCAGCAGTAGTACAAATTGAGTCAAGCCTCAACAACTGGTAACAGCAAAACCCTGATTTAAAATAAGAAAGATAAAGGAGAGCCAGGGCTGTAGCTCAGCGCAATGGCCCTGATTTCAATCTCCAGTACTGCTAGCTAGCTAGCTAGCTACTCTCTGGATAATTACAGACATTCACACATACCTAGTGGGCTTGGTGGTATACAGCTGTGATCCCAGCCACTCAGAAGGCTGAGGCAAGAGGATTATAAGTTCAAGCACAGCTTGGGAAACTTGGTGAGATACCATTTCAAACTAAAATAAAAAAGATTGTGATATAATTCAGTGGTTAAGGGCTTGCCTAGTATGCAGCAGGCCCTTGGGTCATCCCCAGTACAGGGTGAAATGCAGGGCATATCTACCTAACAAACTGTAGATGATGTTTGTATCCTGATTCAGATATACTAAACATAAAAGAAATATTTATGAAGCAATCCAGAATATGTGTTCATTTGTTTTTTTTTTTTTTTTGAAAGGATCTTGTTATGTTGTCTTGGCTAGCGCCACACTTGGCGCACATCAGCTTCTAGAGTAGCTTCAGCCACTATACCTGGCTACAGGAAATATAAATATCGATTAGATATTTGACAAGCATAGAGATTCTGAAGACTTTTAGGTATGATAACAGTATGGCTATGATGGAAAGAGCGACAGGAAGAGAAAGAAAGAGGAAAAGAATTTTTATCTCATTTGGAGATTTAGTGAGGAACACTTCTAAAGACATGACAGAGGATAAGTGCAACAAGGTTAAACATGTATTGATAAGTATGTGATGGTTTACTGCATTAATCTTTCCACTTTTAAAGTTTGTTTTGTTTTGTTTTTTGTATTTTAGGAAAGGGTCTATAGGGTGTTTAGGGTCTCACTACTAGATTGGACTCATAGTGATCCACCTGTTTACAGCCTCCCAAGAGCTGGGATTATAGGCATGTGCCACCACGCCCAGTCTCAATTGCCAGCTCAGTGCACCCTGGGGGTGGAGCTGCAGGCCCAGGGATCAAACCCCCAGCCCCTGCGCCTGCTTGGAGGCACTTTAATCCGTTGAATATTCGGATGGCCCTATAGTTTCTATGAAA